AGCAGAATATCTATGAATGGTAACGACCATTGATACAATGGTAGAAACGCATAGATTATACCGGCTAAAGTAGAAGTTAGACAAGTTGTTTTTAAGGGTAAATCTCCAAGAAAATTTATGTGGATATGCTTACCTATCGCTACAATGTTGAATATTGTGCCCACTACTGCGTACAAAAGAATAGTACCAAAATTCATGAAGAATGCATTATTTGGCAGAAAATATCCGGCATCGAGTGCTATCGGAGGCAGGAGATACAGGAAGAATAGGTCTAAAAACTGCACCTGAATAAACCTTTGCAGTTATATCAATTGGCTAGTCCATTTTTCTTTACATGTGAAAATGCGCGCCGTGTTCTAGGAGGTGTTTTTAATGAATATCGCAATGCGGACTACGTAAAATGAGAATTTCGTCTAATAAGTATTTTTTCGTGCCTTTATAATTGAAGCTATGCTTTTCGACTTTTAAGGTTATATGAACTTGTGCCGCTGGCTTCAATTAGGTGGTACCACCGTACCACAGAAAAACACATGTTCGACGGTAATTCTTGAAAAATATTGTAAATCTGAATTTCTGTCATATGCTCGATGTAAACAAAATTTTTTTGTAATAGCAGTTTATCAAAATAAACAGCAAAGGTTTTTGCGCTGTTGCTGCATCTGTGGCAGTGTCAGTCCGTGTTGTACAATCTACTAATATATACTTTTCTCTGAACTCAATAAATGAAATAATAAGAAAAACTTCACCGCTACTGAAGTTTCAGCAGTGCACATCTTTAATTGATCTTTTTGAATAATTTTTGGGCAAATTTGTAGCTAGAACTCTTGTAATCGAACAGGTCGTATTAAAAGGTCAGCCACTGTCGCAAAATTTCATTTTCTAAGCGTTTACACTGTAGATTTTTTGGACATTGCAACTGAAAGATCTCTCTCAAAGGCATCTACAGGACTACTTGAACATACTAACTCATAGTTTCTGCATATCAAGTAATTACAAATATATCCGCTTACTCATAATTTCAATTATCTAATGAAAATTCTCTCCAAATTGACACTGTAACGCCTACTATAGCTTCAATATGGCACCGGCTCTTTTCGAGTATTGCTAAGTTTTAACCATTTTTATCATTGTGTTTATTATAGATAAAGTTGTAGAATGTGCGATTGTAACAAAATAAACAAAAAAAAACTGATGCAAAGCAAGCTCTTTAAGAAATGGTCATAAAAATTGACCAAGAAATACTAATTGAAATGAAAAACAACCTTGCAGGTTTACCTGGATGAAGATAAATATCCAACACCCATAGCTCGTCCAGAATCAGACCAACAATCAGACCAAGAACAATGAGTAGGGCAGATTCGGGGAATATTCTTGCCAGAACATTAGATCGATGGAAAACTGAAAAGAGAGAACATTTACTCGCCGCCTTAAAGCTTCTTCTACTATCGTTTTCCATGCTACAAAACACTTTTCGACCCTCACAGCAAAGTCTGTCTGGCAGAACACGTTTTTCATAAGATCATATCTCCCGCAAAGGTCACGTTTTCCATTTGAAAACCAGAAAACAGAGCGATGTTAACTGGAGGAAAAACCTATGGGCCTGAGACAACACGGTTAGGGCGAATGATTTAGTGACTTGCGCTTATAGTATATAGTCCCGCAATTATGGTTCTGCGGTGATATCCCTGGTGATCAATAGCCCAAATGACTTTGAAAATATCATCTTTTCAAAGACTGTACACCATGTCAGGGTATCAAATGATGGATCATCGTCGCAACCACGCGCTATTCTCATTTCAATACGAATGTGTAGCGTAAGCAAAGGAGGAGATGTCATAGGTACTTTCTTTCTTTTGTGCTTAGATGGTGAGAAAATGGCGGGAAAATCGACAATTTTGAGAAATTTTAAGGCAGAAATTTGTTAATAGTATAGTACTACTACGACAGACCAACTTACGTATTCTAGCCATTATAATCATGAATAACCAGGCAGAAATGAGAAGCGGAGTGTTCACATCGTGCCAATGCAAGGCCGAGAACATCTGGAACAGGGACGCAGTAGTAAGTAGTAATACTAGCACCGAATATGCATAGGAGGCTTTGAAAAAACTTGGAAAAGTAAGAAAAATTTATTTTAATCCAACAGAACTAAGTAAATTGCGGTCTGGGATTACTTCCTTGGTGAAATTGACGTGGGAGCAAAAAGTGTTCCCGGGGAAAAAGTGCTGTGACAAGTTTGCCGGCAAACGGCGCCAAGTAACGCTGTGTACGGTGATTCCGATCGTCGATGGGGGCAGATTGGGCGGCGCATCTTCAATCGGCGACATTCCAGTAGCCATCGGGTTGCAGAAAAGCACTTTCGAAGCAACTTTTACGGACAGTTCCCGATCGGGTAAAGGAGCCTGCCCGAAGTGAGCGGCCTACAAGCAGCATTCGGGCACTGATCATGTAATGACGATTCGACTTTGAGAAATAGTGTGAGGACGATGACACAACACTAAGGAGATCAATCATTCTCGTATAAAAACCGCTCACAGCTACGCAACTTTAATCGAGTCTGACAGCGTGATTGCGGTGGTGCGCTGGCAAAATTTTTGCTGATTTATAGTCAGTTCGAGCACCTTTCTCGTTCTTTGTTACAGCGACCGATTTCGTTGGAGCAGCAAGTGAAGCCAAAGGAAATTTACGCGTATGGTTCATAGCTAGATTTATAACCTGGCGCTCGCAATCACAATTTAAGCATTACAGTAGACTTTTTCTCAGAAGACCGCAAATCCTTTGCCGCAAGCCTCGTCAGCTTTCGATTACTGTGCTGTCTTTATCTTTAACTTCACGAGATAATTTATCAAATCATGCACTTATCAATAAATTTCTATAGCATACCTCTAATGCTTCATACAGAGATCATCATCTTTTTTCAAATTTTGGTATGCGCCTTGTAGCAAAAGTTCCATTGGACAAAAATTTGAGTTTTTTCAAACAAAAAAGCTTTTTTCATTTATTTTGCCATTAAACGTTTTTATTTTAATTCTAGCTTAGTGTTCAGCAAGACTGACTGATGACAGCTTCAAAAAAAGGAGACCGTACTCCTCATGTTTCATATTCAATTGAGTAGAAATCAAGAAGTTAAGATAAGCTCCAAACCACATACTGTTGCGAACTGCTTGCCAAAAAAGTGTTAATTGATGAGTACAACATTTCGAAATCATGCTCATCAAATATCATTTTTTTCAAAATCTTGAGTCTTTGAAAAATGCGTTGATGTCTGCCAAATTGTACAATTGGTTCCCTCAACGGTTTTGTGATTTCGTTGCATGTTTCGCAACACCTAGAATTAATTCAACAACATTAATTAGCTTTCCAAGGTAGTCACATGGAGAACACATTTTCTGATTTCTGATTAATTCTCCTCCTCCGACTCCAGCCAAATTTTTACGAATAAAAAAACGCTTGTGATAGAAATGAGTCTTGACATTTCTAACACTATAGTCGCTTGAAACGACCTGTTCTGAATGCCGAGAAGAAAGCGTTAGCGAAAACAAATCGTTAGTCATAAATTTGTAGGAAATTTTCAACAAAAATTGGGTAATTGAAAATGTTAATTCAAAAAAATTTCTGCAAGATTTTTTTGCAAATTTTTTTCTTCGTGATAAGGGCACACTTAGACCTGGTTATTGAGTTTTGAGATGTGAGCTACAAATGCAGCCATTGCCTGCCAAAAATCAAGCGAAATTACACTTACGAAATCGGATGAAACTTATTCTAAGGGTGCTGCCTGACAAGAGTGGTACCCATTTCATGGAAGGCCCATTTTTCCGAGATCACTAAATATAAATCATGGATTTCCATTTCCTTTGAGTGAGCTCAGTGATCAATGTTCAACGCTTCATTGCTTTGCTTTATTGCTTCGTTGCTTATTGCTTTACGTTTTAGCCTCACTTGTTTGATTCAGGTGTACACGGCTTCATTACTTCTTCAACATATCTACTTCCACAATATGGAAAATGTGTGGATTTTTTCGTCATAATTAAAAACCAAATATTCTGATCGCATTTGTAGCTCTCAACATAATCAAACGTAATGTTATGTTCGAATTCGTCTTATCTAAAGGAGCTAGTTCAAAATGTTGCAAAACTCATCAACCTAATGATTAGACTTACGTAAAGTAGTTGACACATGCAAGAAAAAAGTATGCGTAGCAAAATTTTCTCTTTTTTAGTCTGTCAGTT